TATGCCATTCCACGAGATTCGCTCAATCAACAAACATGATTATTTTATTTGTTTGTTTGTTGAGCAAATCTCTTGTAATGGTTATTTTCTTCTGAAATCTTACTGATGAAAAAAAACGACTACGAATAGGTCAACTTCCGATATGTGAAATCGACGTGTGATGCGTTGTTGTGAACAATCTCGCTCAGGCTGACGTCCGGGATATCATCGGAATATTATCAAGATTCAAGATTCAAAACTTTTATTTGCATTAAACATGGTAAATACAGGTGTTAATTACATATACTTTAGTTCAAACATGTTTCACCGCTTACATAGAGGCATACAAATATCAAATTTAAGTCTGTGGCTAATTCAGTTTCTCATTATTAACTTATTAATTACAAAATATTAAAAGATACATTGAAATTAAACTTTATACATAATTACTCATTAGATAATTATTAATTATTATTAAATATAATAGAAATATCAGACAATTATTAATTACTACTAAATAGGATAAAATGTCAAAATAATGGTTAATTATTATTAAACAAAATTAAAATGTCCATGATTAGTGAAATCGTAGTGGTTCATTTGTCAAATTTATAATCTAGGAATTTTTTGACGCTATAAAAAGTTCTTTCTTCGAGAAGATCATAGAGGCCTTTTCTAAATTCTGAGAAAGATGGTGCGTTAATATGCTGAGGAATTTTAGTATATATTTTGACACACATGTATAGACAGCTTTTATTATATTTAGATTATCTAGGAAGTGTGTCAATTACAAGCTTTTCAGGGTATCTGTTGCTTCGAGAAGATATATTTTTTGCTTTAGTAAACAGATGGTTGTGTTGTTTGACGAACAAACATATTTCATATATGTAGAGCGATGAACTATTTACACTTACTAAGATGGATTTTATTAATGTATGAGTGGCCAAAGAAGTGGATTTGTTTTTCTGAAAACCAAATTGGTGTGAACTGATGATACTCATCTTATTACAGTATTCAGTAAGACGCAAAAATATACACTTTTCGAATATTTTGGAAAAAAATGATATTAATGCAATGGGTCTGTAATTATTGACATCATCTTTTCACCTTTCTTATACAACGGTTTAATTATTGTTACTTTAAGCTTTTCTGGGAAAGTACCTGTTGTAAAAGATGAATTAATAAGATGTGTAAGTATTTTTATAATACTATCGATGAAAATTTTAATAATATTGGTACATAGTCCATCGTAACCAGTTGCATTTGTGTTCTTAAGAGATATGACTGCATTCTGACTTCTGTTTCTGACATTTCTCGTAGAAACATTGACTTGAGCTGTGGAGAATTAGTTTTTGTTATATTATTATTAGCGTTATTGTTGTAGGTTATGTTAATAAAAAAGTTGTTAAATTTATTTGCTATATCGGTTGGGTCAGTTAAAATTGTATTGTTATCTTTTATATTAATAATATTAATATTTTTTGAATTATTACCTATTTCATTATTTATGATTGTCCACGAGGCTTTGCATTTATTTCTGCTAGTTTTAATTAAATATGTATTTCTAATTTTTTTGACGTGTAAATACATTTTTTCAAAATTTTTGTATAACTTGTGTAAATACGTTTACTAAAGATGTCTTTGTTTATATAATGTTTATATCTAAGTAATCTTTTCCGTTTGCAACTAATCCTTAGTCCTTTGCTTATCCATTTAGCTTTATTGTATGTGTTGCTTATTTTTATTTTCATTTGCGGGAAACAGAGATTGTAGAATAGGAGAAATAAGTCATGGAATTTTTCAAATGCTCTATTTATATTGGTTTCTTCTAAAATGTCACTAAATGTAAGACAGCCAAGATAGCCATTAAATTTCTCTACATTTACAGAGCAGTAATCTCTTTTATAAACGAAATAGGACCTTGGGTTTTGTTTTACAGATTTAAACTTTTTGTTTTACTGATTAATCCCAGCCGCCAAATTTCATGAACGCACATCGCGGCAGAACTCCCAATACCATCCACACCATCTTGATGATTGGCGGTCCACCACTGTGCGATTTAGAAGATGTTTTCTTCCTCGCGCAACTTCCTTGTGGAATAGTTTACCACCAGCGATTTTTCCGGACCGATACGACTTAGGCACCTTTAAGAAAAGAGCCTACTCCTTTTTAAAAGGCCGGCAACGCATCTGCAATTCCCCTGGTGTTGCGCATGGGCGGCGGTAGTCACTTACCATCAGGTGAGCCGCATGCTCGTTTGCCTCTTCTCCTATAAAAAAAAAAACCGGTATTTTCAACATTTGGACAGTGTTGTGATCAGATAAACAAAGCGGTAATATGACTGGTATTGCTGTTATAATATTACTTAACATATGATCAATACAAGACGATTTTCGGGTAGGCTCTTTAATATGCATCCATAAGTTATAATTTAGTGCCATATCATTTAACATAATTGTAAATTTATCAGATTTCAACGTGTTAATATTGAAGTCTCCTGTCAACACAATTTTCTTTTTATTTCCATATTTTTTATAAAGGATACTAAGCAGGCAATTTAACTTATTTATAAAGTAATTAACATCACTTTTTGGGGTTCTATATAGATTTATAATAATAAGGTTATTTCCTGACATTTCAATGCCGCAAAACTCAAAATGTTTTTCTATAGCATATTCATTTAAAAACAATATTTTATTAAAAAGCAATTTTTTTTTACTGGGATGCAAATTCCACCTCTTTTTTCAAATCTACAAAAACTTGCTCCTAATGTATAGTTATTTAATTTAAAGAAATTTTCCGCCCCTTTTTCTATGAACGTCTCCGATAAACAAATAATATCTGGTTCGTTATTTTTTTTTCGCGAGTTCTAATATAGTAATTTCCAAAATTTCTTTTTTAGCTGTTGCACTTGCTATATTTTGATGTAGGATATTTAAGTATTTACTTGAGGTCCTATTAGACTGAGGCACGAAAAAAGTCACTCTTCTTTTTAAGCGGAAAGTAAAAAGGTATAGTACCTTTTTGTTTTGACCTACTATTTGCGGTTGGTTGGACTGGCTCGTTACATGATTAGCTTACGCTTATTATTTTCTCCTTAACACATGTTTCATTCTAGCATCTGATTGCCTCTACGATTTCAAGGATATCGTTAAATATTATTTTTGTGCCATAGTTATTCACATTGCCCGTGTACATATCAAACATTGTAAGGCCGTATACAGAAAGAAAGCTGGCAGCCTACCAGCGCTTATAGGGACCGGTCCACGCAGGTAACCGGCGCAGGCATTTATATGAAACGGCGCCGATAAGCGTTGATAAGCGCCGAACGTCGCCTACAAGTTCCGACAATCTTCGACACGCGTCGGTCAGCGCTGGCGCCGCCCGCCATTTCAAATTAATGAACAACTATACGACAACACGTACAACTACGACACGCATATATTTTTATTAAATAGAGAAATGAATAGTGACGTGTTGATTGTACGGAAGACGGCATATCAAGGGTACCCTTAGATACTTTTTAAAATCGCTCTTATTACAAAATAATAAGGTCGATACGAATCTCAAAGGGTTACGCTTGATCTGCTGTTGACTGTACAGGTGTATATTTAAACAACTTTTAAACATTTTAAATTATTATCTATTACAAAGCTTTACAGTTCTAAGGCGAATATTTTGTAAAAAATGGACAAATAAACATTTTTTCTTAAACATTCTTTTTATTATAATCTTTTTATAAATCTAATAACTTTATCTTTTAATAACTAAGCGATAAATATATTTTTTCGTTCTTAGTCTTTCTTCTGGAAGGATTGGTTGCTTATGCCAATTACACCAATTTTCATCAATTGTTTTTCCACTAACTCCAAAATGTAATAAAATGTTTCTTGAGTCATTCTTGTATATCTATAGAATTTTTGATCATCAAATTTCAATTGTTTTACAAATAAATGATGGTTTTCTCCGAAACGTTTCCTTTCTCTATTAATAGGATGTATAGCTTATATTCGCATTTTAAAATACACATTTTCTAACAAAACTAATTCATCGTCCAATGTACGGTGAAACGTACATATTTCACAATGACCTAAATGTATTTAATTTGTTAACTTAGCAGTCTTAATGACACGGCACTTTAACGCCCTGTACTCGGCGAGCAGTGCACTTCAAGCACTCATATCAAGTAGTCGTTATCATTTTATTTATCATTATCAATATCATATTAAATTATCATTTTAAATAATAAAAATGTAGTTAAACCCTACATTTTTTTTGGTCCTTCGAGCTGGATTCGAACCAGCGACCTATGGATTTTGGTTCATCGAGCAAACTGATCAGTGTTTTGTGGATCTCAAGTGCAGTGCGATCGGTTCGGTTGGCCTCCCACCAGCGGGTCTCACCGGCCGAATTGAGACGGCGCTCTACGTGTACTGAGTCTGCAAATACACTGAGAACCAGTAAAAATATCAAGCATTCACCAAGTAAACCAAGCAAGCATTCATCAAGCACACCAAGCAAGCACTCCAAGCATTCACCAAGCAAACCAAGCAAACCAAGCAAGCATTCATCAAGCACACCAAGCAAGCCCTCTCCAAGCATTCATCAAGCACACCAAGCAGAAGGATTTCACAAGCAAGTACAAGCATTCATTTTTTTGGCCCTTCAAGCTCCGTAGCGGTACTTAAAATTCGGGTTTTAACGACCGAAAAAAGTGTTTCCACTCAGTGATCTATTGCGACATAGTGCACTCAGTGACGTGTGCAATAGCCTTTCGGTCTGTACTAATAAGGAGTCCGCACACATATGGGATCGGAAAGGGATCGTAACCGTAACGCCTTTCACCTCGCTGTCAACCAGGCGTCAACCTACCTTATGCACGTAACGAAAGCGTATCAGCAGCGCCTGTACGTCAACTCGGCTACGGCTAGGCGACACCGCGCTTACGCCTCGCCGCCCGCTGGCTGACCTGGTTGGCACCAGATCAGTTTGAATCCAAACGTTAAGTGTAGCGCACGGTTATGTCTTGGTTTACAATACGTGAGTTGGCTATCATAGCCATAGTACTTGATGAAGAGGAAAAAGAAAATAGCAAGAAAAAAAGGAAAAGATATTGGGTACACAATATGAATAAAGCAAGGAGTACTGAAGGGGAATTTCGGACTATAAAAAAACATTTGATGGATGATGAAGAGAAATTTTATATTTATTTTCATATGCCGAAATTTCTCTTTTATAACATATTGCAGTCTATAGATGAATGTATAAGGAAGAAGAATACAACATTCAGAGAAACAATATCGCCCGAAGAAAAACTATCTGTAACGTTAAGGTGAGAAATTGCATTTGTTTTTGGAATTTTTAATCTGGTCTACAAAAATATTTGTACAGACGCCAGCTTTTCCCAATCAACTTTGAACCTAATGCTTTAGCGATAAAGTTGAAAATCTATTAAAGAATTTTGACAGATTGTAGTACGTTGATGTGCTGGCGTCTGTAGTGTACAAAATAAAACTCGGTTCCGAAACTCCGAGATAGATTAATTTTTACCCTCTGTCGATAAAATTATTTGTTTTGGAACGCAACCCTCATTAGCGATCAGGTGTGTACGGGGGGTGTACGTGTTATGTCTGATGTGTATGTGTATATTTTGTGTGTGTGCGTAAGAATAGAATAGAATAGAATAGAATATACTTTATTGTACACCAAAATTATATCAACTATTTTACAATATTCAAAACGTATGGGTTAGTAACTGCAACTTTTTTTTAGTTTAGGTAAAAAAAAATACTCATAAATCACATATTTTTTTATCATTCTAAAAGATATCATAAAATCAAAAAATTATGGCAATTTAACAAAAATAGCGCTACAACAAAAATACAATCATTGTATAAATTAAAGAATGTTTGAAGTATTAAGATCGTCAGCATTTGACGTGCCATTTTCTTCGTTTGACATATTAAAATTATCAATGTTTGAAGCGCCAGATGTTGATTGTATCTCGTGGCTAATGTTATTTAGAGTGGTATAACCTCGAGGCATGTCATCTTCTCTTTGGGGAATGTAAGGGTTGCGATAACTGTAATAGCTTTGTTTCTCTGCGATTTCTTGTAACTCCATTTCCGAAACTGCGTTATATATTTTACTTTTTATAACCGCTTGGTTATATTCAGAAAATTTTTTAACCGTTGCCGCAATGCTGTTAAAAAATGTTTCTATCTCATCTTCTTTTTTGGTTTCGTTGTGATTTAATAAATATTTCATTAAAGTTTGTGACGCTGAATTGCTTTCAACTTTTTTTTTTGAAGTTTTGGATGTAACTGAAGATGCAGAAGACTTAGGACGCGGCGAAAGTGCAGAAGTTTCCGGTTGTGAGTTTTCTGGAGACTGAATTATGTTTATTGAGTCCTGTGAATCATCATTACCCAAGAAACTGCTAACATCTGAATCGTCATCATAATCAACCGAAGAGATCGTATTTCTTTCTTTGTAATGAGGTACTAAAAAACTCATTTCATCTTCAAAGGTCCACTTTTTCGTCGTCGAGGCTGCCTGACCACTCTTAGTTTTACGCTTCTTCATAGCTCGTCGGTGAGACTCTCTCAGATTTAACCAAGTTTTCTTGCATTCAGATTCTGAAATAAAATAAATCATGGTTAACTATGTCAAGCGCATGTAGTTACATAATGTAGGTATGTGTGAAAGGGAGTACGTACACACACACATTCACATAAACATATACACGTATTATATAAATATACATTTATTGTTGCAGGTACTTCATAACTGGATCTACATTTACTAATTTATCATCGAGCTTCCGTTTAGGAGAATCAACTATTCGTTTGATAGTAATAGATGTGTGCAATGCAATAATAAATAAATTAATGCCAATTCATATACCTCAACCAACTACAGCCGCATGGCAAGGAATCGAAGAAGGATTTAAAAATAAATGGAACTTTCCGAATTGCATAGGCGCCATTGACGGCAAACATGTAAATATAATTGCACCTCCCAATAGTGGATCGTTGTTTTTTAACTATAAAAAAACATTTTCTATTGTTTTGTTAGCTATAGTTGATCCTGAATACAGATTCATAGCGGTTGATGTCGGAGCCTATGGAAAAAACAGCGATGGCGGAATCTATTCGTCATCTACATTTGGAAAGGCACTTGAAAGAAACACATTAAATATTCCATGTGACAAACCATTACCAGGTACTAATCATGCAATGCCACATGTATTTGTGGGAGACGAGGCATTTCCATTGAAGACATATTTATTAAGAACATATCCTCGCTCAAATACACGGAGACTATCAGATCCTGAACGGCAATATAATTACTGCTTATCACGAGCTAGAAGGGTTGTTGAAAACGCTTTTGGAATTTTATATCAAAAATTTGCGATTTACAACAAAAATATTAAATTGCATCCAAAGTTTGTAGATAAAGTGGTATTAACAACTTGCATTTTACACAACATGATGAGGACATATAACATTGAGATGAATTTACAGGAACCGAACAGAACAGAACATGAAATTACAGTTGAATTCGGCGAAGACCGATTGTTAAGTCAATTACCAAATATTAGTGGTGCCCATATGGCTACTGCTTTTAATGTACGTGAAATGTTCAAAACATATTTTCAAACTTCTACCGGACGAGTACCATGGCAGAATTGTAGCTTTTAGCTTTAAATATTAATGTTAATTCTTAATGGATATTACAGTTAAATTTTACATTATAATAATCACATAAATTATATTAATCACAACTGTTTTATTTCCCATACATACCTACATACGCGAAAAACATTAGATAAAAAATTAAATAGGAGTAGGTACTTACCAGATTGCTTTAAAGTAATACTTATTTGTTTCCAAGCCTCGTCCTTTTTTATACTATTACTGTATTTAGCGTCACTTAAGTCATATAAATATGGATATTTTCTCACTTCTTCAATAAGTTTCTCCCTTTGCATCGTTATTTTGTGTTTGAATCTAACTTAAAATTTTAAATAAAACATACGCGCAACACAAATGAAATACGCCTTGCGAATGGCAGGATGGCGGCGTCTTTCTCTTTAGCACGCAAGTCGCAGGAGGGGACAGGGGACGGAGAGACGTAAGCGCGGGGACGGAGAGACGTAAGGAGCCGTAAGCGCGGGAATTGCAAGTTCGGAGCCTGTTCTGAGGGGAGGCGATCACGGTACGATTCCGATTAGTGTGCGTTGCAGTAGGGAGTTTAAATACAAACCATTCTGAACGACTCGAGGCGATACGGTTACGATCCCTTTCCGTTCCCATTAGTGTGCGGACTCCTTAAGTGTGCAGCTTCTTATCATTATCAATATGCTCTGGCCATCGGTGTAACCAAGCATCAAGTATCAAGCAGATTCGAGGGCGTAGCGAGTCTTGGAGCGGCGCCCAGCAGTAGCAGCTTGGAGCGTATCAGCGTATCAGCATCTCCACTGAGTACTCACCACTACTACAGCACGAACGCGCCAACTACCTCAGCACAATCAGCAAGCAGCATCATATCAAGTAAGATCTTTCCATTTTACTTATCATTATATCATGATGTCTGACAACGATGTCCTCACTACGCAGCAGCAGTTATCAACAGCAATTAAAAATTTGTATACCGATTTCAAGAAGGACGGGTCTGATAAGAAGACTTCGGACTATATCAAACGCAGATTAAACACTCTAGACAACTATTGGTTGGAGTATGAAAAGAATTATCAACCTTTGACAGAGGAAAGACCTGGACGTACGTTTTCATTCCGAACACGGCGAACGCGTTCTATATCATTATCAATTTTGTATCAATATCATTATTAAGTTTAAATAAAATCATTTTTTCTTATATCATATATCATTTAAAGGTGTTCCGTACATCTTTATTGTACCAAGCGGATGCACCAAGCGGAGCAAGAATAGATCATGAACGTGAAAGTCTGAAGGAGAGATTTGACAGCATTAGAGCGCATCTACGAAACTTTGCCTTTGACGGAGGAAAGACCTGGACGTACGTTTTCATTCCGAACACGGCGGACGCGTTCTATATAATTATCAGTTTTGTATCAATATCATTATTAAGCTTAAATTAAATAATTTTTTCTTATATCATATATCATTTAAAGGTGTTCCGTACATGTTTATGGTTCTTCGAGCATTGATCTAGTGCCGGTAAGATATAAGCGGGACCACGCGGTTCGACAACGTGTCTTCGTTTCGCCCGTTTAGTGCTGCCCATGTATTACCGCCTATTCAGCAAAAACGACACGTGACTTTTTCAAGCAATTGCGCAGTGACAAGTTCCTGCTACAGCATATATCATCACCAACAGCAGTGATTGGTAATCATCACTTTATCAATCACTAAAAACATTTTTTGCCTTTGTGTTTCTGTGTCTGAAGTGCAATAGCGAATCGGTCGTGTCGGCCTCCCACAAGCGGGTCTCACCGACGAGATTGAGAAGACGCATATAATGCATTAGGATACCGGAGCACTTGGTAACAGCATCATCTCCGTGACTTGGAAGCATCCGTCACCGGATTATCAATCAAATCGTTTATTAATCAACAAAAAAATTGCAGTTCACTCACCCATATTGTAAGAACAATAGCATGGGTATTACGTTTCATCGCGCGCACTCGAGTCCGGCGCGACGCATCAAATAACTGCGTGATAAGCAGGTCATTAACATTAACACCTGTGGAGCTAAATAGAGCTTTAACCATCATTATCAAAATCACGCAATCCTATGAATTTAGCGACGACTTTAATCATATTCTAAATGAAGGCCATGTGGAACTGAAGATGAGCAAGGGTCGTTCTATTCGCACTTCAAAGGGTTATATTGCAATTTTCGTTTGTTTCTGCAGCAAATCGGTTCATTTGGAGCTCGTATCAGACTTAACTACATCAGCATTCTTAGTAGCATTCCAACGGTTCTGTTCTCGCCGAGGGGTTCCCAGTCACGTATATAGCGATAATGGAACAAACTTTGTAGGTGCCAACAGAGTTTTGAAGCGGGAATATCGGAATATTATGGAAACTATCAACAAGGATTTTTTTGATAACATTGCAAACATGGATATTAGCTGGCATTTTAACGCTCCAGCCTATCCAAATGCTGGAGGATTATGGGAGGCCGCCGTGAAGAGTCTCAAGTACCAAATCAAAAGAGTAATAGGAGATCAAAAATTGACCTTCGAAGAATTTAGTACCCTATTGCATCAGGTGAAAGCATGTCTTAATTCTCGGCCTCTTTGTTGTTTACCCGAAAATTGCAACGACCCCGTACTCATGCCAGTACACTTCCTAATAGGTGGTTCATTATTATCAAGGCCACAACCGGAACCAGAAAATATCGGTTTATCAAGAAGATGGCAACTTGTCCAGTCAATGAATAAACAGTTTTGGAAGCGGTGGGTAGCTGACTATTTACAACAGCTCCAGACCAGATCGAAATGGAGATTACCAGATAAGAGCATAGGCATCAACGACGTAGTTCTATTAAAAGAGAATAATTTGCCTCCAGGCAAGTGGGCGATGGGGCGAGTACAAGAACTACACCCCGGACAAGACGGACACATCAGGGTTGTGTCGGTAAAAACCCAAAATAATATCATCAAAAGGCCCGTTAATAAATTAGTTCCTTTAGTTGCTTCGGAAAACCTGCCACCACCAACTGCGGACGATATGCCCTGCACTGCCGAAATTAATGCCCCACGTCAGCTTCGTAGGGCGAGTAAAGGAAAGATTATCCTTCAGAATGCATTCGTATAAATCTTTATGTTCCTATCATTTTTAATATCACCCTCACTTCAAAGACATCCAGGTTTTAATATCACCGAAATAAGTAATAATCAAGGCTTATACTTCGATAAAATATAACAGCTTCAGTGTATACGGAACGAAAGGAAACTTATACTTTATTATAATATGAGTATCTACTGGCAGAGTGTAAACAACATACAAAACTACATATTATATATGAATAAAACATATAAATCAGAAACAGACACCCACTTTGAGAGCATTATCTTAACAGCTGGAACATGAACTCGATGAGATTAATCATTATAACACTATTTTATCAAATAATCAGAATATCAGAAGACAGAAGAGAGGATTAGTAAATGGCGTTGGATATATTGCGAATACTTTATTCGGTGTTTTAGATGAAAGGTTTGCTGAGCAATATCAAAGGGACATAGAAACTATCAGATTCAATGAAAATCATTTACATAAACTAATTCATAACCAAATTATCATCATGGAAGCTGAATCAAACATATTACAGAGACATGAATATATCATGAATAAAAGCTTCGCTCTCATTGAACAACACATTAATAGCCTGAAATTATACACGGATAGAATTCATATAGATACAAACAATGGCATATACTTTTCACTATCGGCTCTAACACCCCACATTATTATTACTAAAATAAAAAGCATACAACAAGCGTTAATTGACACAGTGACTGACATTTATCAAGGGCGTATCAAGTACCCATATATTGCTGCCGGAGCAATTGCAGAAGCAAATGGATATCATATCTGGGCAACTACACGGCGATCTCGTACTTCCAGTAGACAGATCCAATATTAAGCAATTCTATAAACTACTACGCGCTTCGGCGAGAATCACCGACAAGTATTTAATTATAGAAATAAAGACAACCTTATTAGGGGGTGACATCTATGAATTAGACAAAATTATCGGTGTACCACAAAAACGGAACAATCATTATTACAATATTATTTCCAACTTTCCTTATATTGGCTTCAATATCAGGAGAGACTCAGTTATATTTTAATCAGAATTCGATCTTTCATATTGCCGTCATTTGTCTGAGGAAAAATTATTATGTTCCCTAGATAAGCCTGTGTACGATATAAACATTAAACAATCCATATGCGACATTAAGTTAATTAACAATGGCACGAGCATATCACCCTGTTCGTCAGAAGTATCAAGTTGCCGAGAGAGCTGGGTTAAGTTACATGCCGATAACAGCTGGCTGTTCGCGTGTTGCGAAGAATGCGCAGTGCGCATTATCTACCCAGACAGAGTGTCGTCACAACAACTGAGAGGCAATGGAATCCTACATCTTGGCTCTTTGTGTAACATGAAAGGAACGGACTTTACAATTTTCGCACACAATAATTTCATCAATAAAATGAATATCAGCGAAAACGTGGAATTCCCAGAGATGTCAATTTTAAACAAATTGATTAACACATCTAGCATTCGACTTAACACACAATTACGAGCAGAACAAAAATGAATGAACGAGCAGAAGAAAAAAAGAACAAAAACACAATCATTGTATAAATTAAAGAATGTTTGAAGTATTAAGATCGTCAGCATTTGACGTGCCATTTTCTTCGTTTGACATATTAAAATTATCAATGTTTGAAGCGCCAGATGTTGATTGTATCTCGTGGCTAATGTTATTTAGAGTGGTATAACCTCGAGGCATGTCATCTTCTCTTTGGGGAATGTAAGGGTTGCGATAACTGTAATAGCTTTGTTTCTCTGCGATTTCTTGTAACTCCATTTCCGAAACTGCGTTATATATTTTACTTTTTATAACCGCTTGGTTATATTCAGAAAATTTTTTAACCGTTGCCGCAATGCTGTTAAAAAATGTTTCTATCTCATCTTCTTTTTTGGTTTCGTTGTGATTTAATAAATATTTCATTAAAGTTTGTGACGCTGAATTGCTTTCAACTTTTTTTTTTGAAGTTTTGGATGTAACTGAAGATGCAGAAGACTTAGGACGCGGCGAAAGTGCAGAAGTTTCCGGTTGTGAGTTTTCTGGAGACTGAATTATGTTTATTGAGTTCTGTGAATCATCATTACCCAAGAAACTGCTAACATCTGAATCGTCATCATAATCAACCGAAGAGATCGTATTTCTTTCTTTGTAATGAGGTACTAAAAAACTCATTTCATCTTCAAAGGTCCACTTTTTCGTCGTCGAGGCTGCCTGACCACTCTTAGTTTTACGCTTCTTCATAGCTCGTCGGTGAGACTCTCTCAGATTTAACCAAGTTTTCTTGCATTCAGATTCTGAAATAAAATAAATCATGGTTAACTATGTCAAGCGCATGTAGTTACATAATGTAGGTATGTGTGAAAGGGAGTACGTACACACACACATTCACATAAACATATACACGTATTATATAAATATACATTTATTGTTGCAGGTACTTCATAACTGGATCTACATTTACTAATTTATCATCGAGCTTCCGTTTAGGAGAATCAACTATTCGTTTGATAGTAATAGATGTGTGCAATGCAATAATAAATAAATTAATGCCAATTCATATACCTCAACCAACTACAGCCGCATGGCAAGGAATCGAAGAAGGATTTAAAAATAAATGGAACTTTCCGAATTGCATAGGCGCCATTGACGGCAAACATGTAAATATAATTGCACCTCCCAATAGTGGATCGTTGTTTTTTAACTATAAAAAAACATTTTCTATTGTTTTGTTAGCTATAGTTGATCCTGAATACAGATTCATAGCGGTTGATGTCGGAGCCTATGGAAAAAACAGCGATGGCGGAATCTATTCGTCATCTACATTTGGAAAGGCACTTGAAAGAAACACATTAAATATTCCATGTGACAAACCATTACCAGGTACTAATCATGCAATGCCACATGTATTTGTGGGAGACGAGGCATTTCCATTGAAGACATATTTATTAAGACCATATCCTCGCTCAAATACACGGAGACTATCAGATCCTGAACGGCAATATAATTACTGCTTATCACGAGCTAGAAGGGTTGTTGAAAACGCTTTTGGAATTTTATATCAAAAATTTGCGATTTACAACAAAAATATTAAATTGCATCCAAAGTTTGTAGATAAAGTGGTATTAACAACTTGCATTTTACACAACATGATGAGGACATATAACATTGAGATGAATTTACAGGAACCGAACAGAACAGAACATGAAATTACAGTTGAATTCGGCGAAGACCGATTGTTAAGTCAATTACCAAATATTAGTGGTGCCCATATGGCTACTGCTTTTAATGTACGTGAAATGTTCAAAACATATTTTCAAACTTCTACCGGACGAGTACCATGGCAGAATTGTAGCCTTTAGCTTTAAATATTAATGTTAATTCTTAATGGATATTACAGTTAAATTTTACATTATAATAATCACATAAATTATATTAATCACAACTGTTTTATTTCCCATACATACCTACATACGCGAAAAACATTAGATAAAAAATTAAATAGGAGTAGGTACTTACCAGATTGCTTTAAAGTAATACTTATTTGTTTCCAAGCCTCGTCCTTTTTTATACTATTACTGTATTTAGCGTCACTTAAGTCATATAAATATGGATATTTTCTCACTTCTTCAATAAGTTTCTCCCTTTGCATCGTTATTTTGTGTTTGAATCTAACTTAAAATTTTAAATAAAACATACGCGCAACACAAATGAAATACGCCTTGCGAATGGCAGGATGGCGGCGTCTTTCTCTTTAGCACGCAAGTCGCAGGAGGGGACAGGGGACGGAGAGACGTAAGCGCGGGGACGGAGAGACGTAAGGAGCCGTAAGCGCGGGAATTGCAAGTTCGGAGCCTGTTCTGAGGGGAGGCGATCACGGTACGATTCCGATTAGTGTGCGTTGCAGTAGGGAGTTTAAATACAAACCATTCTGAACGACTCGAGGCGATACGGTTACGATCCCTTTCCGTTCCCATTAGTGTGCGGACTCCTTAAGTGTGCAGCTTCTTATCATTATCAATATGCTCTGGCCATCGGTGTAACCAAGCATCAAGTATCAAGCAGATTCGAGGGCGTAGCGAGTCTTGGAGCGGCGCCCAGCAGTAGCAGCTTGGAGCGTATCAGCGTATCAGCATCTCCACTGAGTACTCACCACTACTACAGCACGAACGCGCCAACTACCTCAGCACAATCAGCAAGCAGCATCATATCAAGTAAGATCTTTCCATTTTACTTATCATTATATCATGATGTCTGACAACGATGTCCTCACTACGCAGCAGCAGTTATCAACAGCAATTAAAAATTTGTATACCGATTTCAAGAAGGACGGGTCTGATAAGAAGACTTCGGACTATATCAAACGCAGATTAAACACTCTAGACAACTATTGGTTGGAGTATGAAAAGAATTATCAACCTTTGACAGAGGAAAGACCTGGACGTACGTTTTCATTCCGAACACGGCGAACGCGTTCTATATCATTATCAATTTTGTATCAATATCATTATTAAGTTTAAATAAAATCATTTTTTCTTATATCATATATCATTTAAAGGTGTTCCGTACATCTTTATTGTACCAAGCGGATGCACCAAGCGGAGCAAGAATAGATCATGAACGTGAAAGTCTGAAGGAGAGATTTGACAGCATTAGAGCGCATCTACGAAACTTTGCCTTTGACGGAGGAAAGACCTGGACGTACGTTTTCATTCCGAACACGGCGGACGCGTTCTATATAATTATCAGTTTTGTATCAATATCATTATTAAGCTTAAATTAAATAATTTTTTCTTATATCATATATCATTTAAAGGTGTTCCGTACATGTTTATGGTTCTTCGAGCATTGATCTAGTGCCGGTAAGATATAAGCGGGACCACGCGGTTCGACAACGTGTCTTCGTTTCGCCCGTTTAGTGCTGCCCATGTATTACCGCCTATTCAGCAAAAACGACACGTGACTTTTTCAAGCAATTGCGCAGTGACAAGTTCCTGCTACAGCATATATCATCACCAACAGCAGTGATTGGTAATCATCACTTTATCAATCACTAAAAACATTTTTTGCCTTTGTGTTTCTGTGTCTGAAGTGCAATAGCGAATCGGTCGTGTCGGCCTCCCACAAGCGGGTCTCACCGACGAGATTGAGAAGACGCATATAATGCATTAGGATACCGGAGCACTTGGTAACAGCATCATCTCCGTGACTTGGAAGCATCCGTCACCGGATTATCAATCAAATCGTTTATTAATCAACAAAAAAATTGCAGTTCACTCACCCATATTGTAAGAACAATAGCATGGGTATTACGTTTCATCGCGCGCACTCGAGTCCGGCGCGACGCATCAAATAACTGCGTGATAAGCAGGTCATTAACATTAACACCTGTGGAGCTAAATAGAGCTTTAACCATCATTATCAAAATCACGCAATCCTATGAATTTAGCGACGACTTTAATCATATTCTAAATGAAGGCCATGTGGAACTGAAGATGAGCAAGGGTCGTTCTATTCGCACTTCAAAGGGTTATATTGCAATTTTCGTTTGTTTCTGCAGCAAATCGGTTCATTTGGAGCTCGTATCAGACTTAACTACATCAGCATTCTTAGTAGCATTCCAACGGTTCTGTTCTCGCCGAGGGGTTCCCAGTCACGTATATAGCGATAATGGAACAAACTTTGTAGGTGCCAACAGAGTTTTGAAGCGGGAATATCGGAATATTATGGAAACTATCAACAAGGATTTTTTTGATAACATTGCAAACATGGATATTAGCTGGCATTTTAACGCTCCAGCCTATCCAAATGCTGGAGGATTATGGGAGGCCGCCGTGAAGAGTCTCAAGTACCAAATCAAAAGAGTAATAGGAGATCAAAAATTGACCTTCGAAGAATTTAGTACCCTATTGCATCAGGTGAAAGCATGTCTTAATTCTCGGCCTCTTTGTTGTTTACCCGAAAATTCCAACGACCCCGTACTCACGCCAGTACACTTCCTAATAGGTGGTTCATTATTATCAAGGCCACAACCGGAACCAGAAAATATCGGTTTATCAAGAAGATGGCAACTTGTCCAGTCAATGAATAAACAGTTTTGGAAGCGGTGGGTAGCTGACTATTTACAACAGCTCCAGACCAGATCGAAATGGAGATTACCAGATAAGAGCATAGGCATCAACGACGTAGTTCTATTAAAAGAGAATAATTTGCCTCCAGGCAAGTGGGCGATGGGGCGAGTACAAGAACTACACCCCGGACAAGACGGACACATCAGGGTTGTATCGGTAAAAACCCAAAATAATATCATCAAAAGGCCCGTTAATAAATTAGTTCCTTTAGTTGCTTCAGAAAACCTGCCACCACCAACTGCGGACGATATGCCCTGCACTGCCGAAATTAATGCCCCACGTCAGCTTCGTAGGGCGAGTAAAGGAAAGATTATCCTTCAGAATGCATTCGTATAAATCTTTATGTTCCTATCATTTTTAATATCACCCTCACTTCAAAGACATCCAGGTTTTAATATCACCGAAATAAGTAATAATCAAGGCTTATACTTCGATAAAATATAACAGCTTCAGTGTATACGGAACGAAAGGAAACTTATACTTTATTATAATATGAGTATCTACTGGCAGAGTGTAAACAACATACAAAACTACATATTATATATGAATAAAACATATAAATCAGAAACAGACACCCACTTTGAGAGCATTATCTTAACAGCTGGAACATGAACTCGATGAGATTAATCATTATAACACTATTTTATCAAATAATCAGAATATCAGAAGACAGAAGAGAGGATTAGTAAATGGCGTTGGATATATTGCGAATACTTTATTCGGTGTTTTAGATGAAAGGTTTGCTGAGCAATATCAAAGGGACATAGAAACTATCAGATTCAATGAAAATCATTTACATAAACTAATTCATAACCAAATTATCATCATGGAAGCTGAATCAAACATATTACAGAGACATGAATATATCATGAATAAAAGCTTCGCTCTCATTGAACAACACATTAATAGCCTGAAATTATACACGGATAGAATTCATATAGATACAAACAATGGCATATACTTTTCACTATCGGCTCTAACACCCCACATTATTATTACTAAAATAAAAAGCATACAACAAGCGTTAATTGACACAGTGACTGACATTTATCAAGGGCGTATCAAGTACCCATATATTGCTGCCGGAGCAATTGCAGAAGCAAATGGATATCATATCTGGGCAACTACACGGCGATCTCGTACTTCCAGTAGACAGATCCAATATTAAGCAATTCTATAAACTACTACGCGCTTCGGCGAGAATCACCGACAAGTATTTAATTATAGAAATAAAGACAACCTTATTAGGGGGTGACATCTATGAATTAGACAAAATTATCGGTGTACCACAAAAACGGAACAATCATTATTACAATATTATTTCCAACTTTCCTTATATTGGCTTCAATATCAGGAGAGACTCAGTTATATTTTAATCAGAATTCGATCTTTCATATTGCCGTCATTTGTCTGAGGAAAAATTATTATGTTCCCTAGATAAGCCTGTGTACGATATAAACATTAAACAATCCATATGCGACATTAAGTTAATTAACAATGGCACGAGCATATCACCCTGTTCGTCAGAAGTATCAAGTTGCCGAGAGAGCTGGGTTAAGTTACATGCCGATAACAGCTGGCTGTTCGCGTGTTGCGAAGAATGCGCAGTGCGCATTATCTACCCAGACAGAGTGTCGTCACAACAACTGAGAGGCAATGGAATCCTACATCTTGGCTCTTTGTGTAACATGAAAGGAACGGACTTTACAATTTTCGCACACAATAATTTCATCAATAAAATGAATATCAGCGAAAACGTGGAATTCCCAGAGATGTCAATTTTAAACAAATTTATTAACACATCTAGCATTCGACTTAACACACAATTACGAGCAGACGAGCAAGATCAAAAATGGCGTGTACTTAATATGCAAATATCGGAACTAAAGGAACAGTCTCGTGGTGAACTAAGCATTCACGATGTACACCACTATGCGCTCGGGTATATCATCACCGGCTCACTGTTGCTTGTGAGCGGTGTCTTCGCGTAATAATTGTTACATATAAGTATCACATTGTCACTTCTCATTAAACATTGTATCATCTATCAGTCATTTGCACTAGCCGAAACTATTAAATAGTTGTTACTATAAAAATCCTATCGCTTGCTGCTATGTAATCATTTAATTATTAGTTAGTTGTTCTTTTCTTATTTGATTTAAAAATTCTACCTACTTTAATTGTTAACATTAAGTATGTAAGTTACTTACAATGTTATTAAGCAGTAATCTAACTTCACCCCTCGTTGTCTTTCTCGAGAGGTGCAAGATGTACGGTGAAACGTACATATTTCACAATGACCTAAATGTATTTAATTTGTTAACTTAGCAGTCTTAATAACACAGCAGTTTAACGCCCTGTACTCGGCGAGCAGTGCACTTCAAGCACTCATATCAAGCAGTCGTCATCATTTTATTTATCATTATCAATATCATATTAAATTATCATTTTAAATAATAAAAATGTAGTTAAACCCTACATCCAATGAGTACGATATTTTGCTCGCTCTGCTTCAATCGGC